GAATGTATGTGGAGGGGTATAGGAAGATCAGTACTTGAATGTGATCTTACATTTCAAATTTATTCTCTGAAACCATGGAAGGCCCTTAGGCAGGGAAATGCCATGATCATATCTATTCTTTAATGGTAGTTGGGAGGGAAGAGATTGGAGGCACGAACACTGTGGCAGTTGAATGATGTTGGGGGTTTCAGCTGGGATACTGGCTGGAGAAGCACATAAAAAGAGCTATGGAGGACAGTTAAGTAAGTCATGAACACTTGGCTTGGGAGTACCAGAAACACAACTTCACTCACTAGAATTTTCCAATTCTTTTGCATCATCTGGAATTTTTATTATAAGCACTTAACATGTGCCAGGTATCATGTGATGTGTTTTACAGGTGTTGGCCTGTTGCATTCTCAGATACACTCAAAGCTGTACTGTGTCTTGCCCTGTACTAGAATGTGTGGGTGGATGAGTAGCTGACGCATCTTGAACCTTTTCATACCTGCCTTCCATGGCTATACGGGGAAGGCATTAAATGACTACATGCAAAAAAAATTAATGAATGAATGAAATTTCATTTAAAATTGTCAGAAAGTTGGGCAGTTTGGAGCAATACGTCATGCAAAAAGAAAAGAATTGAGAACTCTGTTTCAAGCCTGTGTAATTAGGGGGACACTATTTATATAGAAAACACAGGAGAACCTGATTTGATGGGTAACAAGTTTGCCATTTTGCATAACAAGTTTAAAGTACTAGGAGAATGATGGACCTCGCAGAACAGAGTAAAAGCTGTAGATCTACATAGGTATTGTGTAACTTCTAGGAACTTCATTTATTCAGAGGTTGAAAATATGATGGCTCTAGGCACATAGAGGGACAAGGATTCTGCTCTCAGGATGTTACTACCTAAGGGGTTGACCAGTGAATAAAATACATACATACATAAATAAACAAGCAAAAAATGATTACAGGGAGATCCCAAGCACAGGCTGCCCTGAACTAACAGCAGATCCCTGTTGCTTTTCTCCTGTTGAAACGGCACTGCCCATTTCTTAGGGAAAATCTCTAAGAGTTGGATTCCTATTTGCCTCCTGAGGCAACATATGGCTGATGAAGAATTTTACCTGCTGCTCCTTTAAGTCTCAAGATTTATCCTTTTGATCTGTGGGCTGGGGATAAGATGTAGCTTCCGGAATGCCAAGAACGAGAGACCTGAAAGTTGTTATCAGCCATGAGGTTCCCAAAGGCCATCACAGTAACAATACTGGTCAAGCTTTTGGGAAAGATGAACGCAATGCCATGGCAAAATGTCAGCTGTAAAGCAAAGTGGATGGATATTGGACCTATGATTATGCCCAACTACAGTGTCCTCTTCTCATAAACTAGTAGTAGCAGCTAACTTACATACAAGGGGGGACTCAAAAATTGGAATTACCTTCTGGAGGGCAGTCCCTTGTAGTACAGGCTTCCCCCGCTAGGTGAGTGTTCTAGGAACCCATCTGTTATCAGTGTACCAGCTGGTGTTGTTGTAAGAGGTTACATTCAGCTTCAGTGAATTTTTTTGAAGATTCTTTCAATGCCTTTGCCCATTTCATGATGGGTGGTTTATGAGCAAACCAACCTACACCATGCTGAGTGTTCAGTTTTTGAGCAAAAATGGCATGACCCCCCTGCTCCACCCTCCCTATTCATCTGATCTCACCCTGAGCGACATTTTTTTTGTTTCCCTGGATGAAAAAAGTCCTCAAAGGTAAAAATTTTGTCCATGTGGAAGTAGTAAAACAATGGCAGAAGCACTAGAAGGCATCAAAATCAGTGAGTTCAAAAATTGTTTTGAGCAGTGGAAAGAAGTGTCTCAGTAAACATACTACATCAAATGGAGAGTACTTTGAAGGTGACTGTTAATCATGTATGAATAAATAAAAACTTTTTATAAATAAATTCCTCCCTGGCTGGTGTGGCTCAGTGGAGTGAGTGCCGGCCTGCAAACCAAAGAGCCACTGGTTTGATTCCCAGTAGAGCACATGCCTGGATTGTTGGCCAGGTCCCCAGTCAGGAGCGCACAAGAGGCAAACCCACATTGATGTTTCTCTCCCTCTCTTTTCCCCTCCTTTCCCCCTCTATAAAAATAAACTTTTTTTTTTTTTAAAGAAAACTATTCTTGCTCAGGGGCAGGGGAGATGCCTGTAGTGCTTGGTTAACTCCACGTTATCCCACCCAAGTCCTAGTTCCCACAAGCAGCTTGTTGTTCATACTCAGGGCCCACTGACATAGTAAGAGGACCCTGAAAACTTCACCCAGCCTCTCAGGCAGCCCCTAGTATGGTTCCTCAGGCAGTGCCAAGGACAGCATCTTAGGCAACACCCAGATTGCCCTAGCAGGGCAGGGAGGGGTGAGGTAGGGGGAGTATCTGAGCATGAGGATCTCCACACCCCATGGGCATGTGCCCTGACTGGGAATCCAAGAACCTCCAGAAGTAAGGAACACCATGGCTTCACAGTGCCTGGAAGGGCTGCGAAACACAATGTCCTTGTCATGGCCCCAGGCTGTTCACGAAGGTATTGTCTGTGCCCCACTGAGACCCAAGGAGCGTGGCTTGCTGCAGAAGCAGCTCCCAGCTCCATCTCTCCAGTGGCCCCACCTTTTCCTGTCCTCGTCCAGACAGGCATCTTTTGGTATCAACAGCGCACTTGAGAACTAACTGGTAAATATGGCAAATGGAATAAGAAAATAAAAAGCAAAATCCACAGGTCACATTGCTTTTGTACAGGCTTTTGCTGAGCATTTCCAAAGAGCACAGTTGTAACTGCATATGGGGAATTTGCATAATAATTCAGACTAATTAGTGAATAAGTAAATGCCTAACTATGAAACATATTTATGGAATCATGTTGGCCAACCATGGACCATCAGAAAACATTCGACTTTTCTGAGATAGTTAGATTTAAGAATTCTGGTATGTTCTACCCACTTTCTGAAAAAGCCATTTACAATGAAGCTAACAAAGTTTGTGTGTCACAGCTTCTTGTTTGCACCAGCCCCTGACAAAAAAGACCTAGCAAAGTGTTCCCACGGTCAACTGTTTTCTGTAATATTTTTTTTTTCGGGGGAGGAGGGGAGATGTATTCTTTTTTCTTAAAGAAGGCCCTCAAAATTCTATAAGCTTCTGGATCCACCTCTGCCTTCTTGACAGCAACATTCATACTCTTTGTCAAAAGTAGGGGCTTGGAACTTCCTGCTTTCAGGGGAAGATGTAGAACCTAGCTGGGCTAAGCTAAATGTTGACCCCATTAAATAGCTGATGGGTTCACTCATGGGTGGCAGAGAGCTAAAAGAATTGCCAATTTTTCAAGCACTGCCCCAGAGACTGACAATGAACTATCCATGACACCAATAAAAATTATTTCATACCAAGGCTAAAAAAAAAAAAGAAAGAAAACTATTCTTTAACACGAAAGAATGAGAGAGAAAGAATAAAAAGGATGGAAGGAAGGAAGGAAGGAAGGAAGGAAGGAAGGAAGGAAGGAAGGAAGGAAGGAAGGAAAGGAAGTTAGGCCAAGTCAGTCAGTCCTGCTGTTTTGGGGCCCCCTCGTATATTGACTGCTAACTCTGTGCCAACTTTTTTCATGGATTAACTCTCTGACAACAAAACTATGAAGTAGACTCCTCCAACTCCCTCAAGCAGGTCATACAAGTAAAGACATTAGACTTAAAGTGTGACTTCTGAAGTTCCACAGCTAGTAAGGGTGGAGTTAGCATCAAGGCATTCTCTCCAGCGTCTTGGCACTTAGTGTTTCAATGGAAACTGCCAAAGAGACTTCAACTCCCAGGCAAGTAATTGCTTGCCTCTGTGGTAAACCATCCCTCTAGCAGCAAAGCTAGGAGAACTGCTCAGGAAGAGCTTGACAGGAGGAATCTTATGCATGTACATTGTTATAGGGCTCTAGAATTAGCACCCATTTTAAGAAGTGGAGATGCTTCTTTATATCTAATTAGTCTACAGTATTTCAAACTAGGCAATCCTTTGCTGGTGCCCTAGCAATCTTTGTAATGTATGTCCTGAACCATCAAACACATACCCAGTCAAGGGAACATTATGAGATACATACCCAATTGACAAATATTCTAAAGTCAAAATAACCCCTTCCCATTATCTTATTTTCTTGATATGACATAGGTTGCACGTGTGACTTATTTAAAATCATTTAGTATTATTTGGAGTGCCTTTTAGGCAGATCACGCTGGGTGACTTTTATGCTTAAAACCCATTTTTTATTCGAATGTCTTACAGTCATCTTAGGAAAAGAGTTCTATTATTATTCCCCATTTTATGATTAAATAAAACCAGACACAAGAGAAATTATGCAACTTAACCAATATCCCATAGCATCACAATCTTTAGAACAGAAAAATTATAACAATGGATCAAATCCAACTTTAAAATTTTAAAAAATATAAAAAAGGATTCCAAAGAAAAGACTCAGTTCTCTAAGTAACAAAATAAAATCCCATAAGCTCCTACCACACCCATGACTAATAATCTCAAACTAATTTTTAAAAACTACTTGATTTACTTTTTCATAATCAGTAATATACAAGAATTTTGTACATGATTTATTAAAAATAACTGAAAAATAACGTATTTGACTGAGCAGTAATGCAACTATTGAAAAGACAAGTTGATTATTAAATAATTACCTAATGTTAATCCTCAAAAAAAGTGTTATAAGCCAACCTTGTGAGTGTAGGATAGGCATATTACTAATAATCATAAATATTAGAAATACATTTAAAATGTCCATATAGTTAACATACATAGAAAATTCATTAACTGAAATCGGCCATGAAAATTGGCCTGGAATTTGGTTGGCTATTAAGTTTAATTTTGTCTTAAATTGTCTCAAAATTTAAATAGTTTGCTCTACATTGTTAAAAACTGTAATCTTAAATTATTAAAAAATAACTTTACACACACAAACATATGACTAGCCATGTCATTTAAAAAGTTATAAAATAGCTGTTTTAGAGAGCTTTCACAATCCCTGTCTTTCGAAATTTATTTTAAAAATCATCACTATGTTGCATTTATAAACTATATCCTTGCATTAAAGATATGAACTATAAATATTCTATTATATACAAAATAGCCACATCCCAATTTTAATTTCACTATTCCTTTTGTTAACATAGAAAGTTGCATTTAATTTAAAAAAATCACACATTTCCACAATTTCAAAGGCAACATTAAAGGTTCTTTGTTAAATAGGTAATGGAGCAAACACCAAGATATTTGAAACAATGAAGTCAACATTACATTGATTTTTAAGGGAAACCAAGAATATATGCCTTCACATAAAACAGAAACAGAATAAATCACTTTATAAGAGAAGAATAAAAAAGATGGCTTTAAAAAAATTTAGATTTTCCAACCCCAGTAAACATACTCAAAAACAAAGGGGAGAGAATGCCGGGGGGAGAAATGAACAGGAGAGTGGGAAACGGAGAGAAAGAAAGGGAGGAGGAAGGAGGAAGGAAGGGAGGGAGTGAGGAAGGGAGAAAGAAAGAGACTAAATCTTTGCAGGATTAAAAATACATTCTTAAAGCATTTTTTTGAGCTTAAATTTTTCTGACAAGGTGGGTAACAGAGGAAATGTAGATTCAGTGCAAGGTTTTATATAGAGCACAACCTAGAAATGCAACTCCACCAAAATGGAATTGTTCTAACAGTGCCTGGCTGGGAATCTCCCTTTGCATTATGAAGAAAGGTCATGTTATAAGAATAAAACAGTACCAAGAACACTTAGAGAACAGACTTCAAGCACCTCACAAACAATTAATTAATTCACTAAGGAGTTGGAGATCACATTAAAGCAAGATAATTTTCTATTAGGTTATACTTTAAGTAGTCTATGATACAGACTTGTTATATTTGATTGCACTACAGATGGGTTGTTGTCATCAAACCCAAATGTAAACAATAATGCAGACTTCCTTAACATTTCTGTTTCTGTAGGTCTCCTTGGGTGGAATACAAGTAATTGAAAAGTACATTAAGAATTGGGAAATCTGTGCACTTATTGATAGCATTTCTCAGTAAATGTGCATTTCCTTAAAGATATCCCATCAAAACAAGGGGGTAGTCCAAAGCACAGTGTCTTCTTTTTTTTTTTAATGACATTTAATTTTTTTAAAAAAGGGAAAAGGTGATAAGGCCACTGGCTTTTGTAGACTTATTACGATGCGCTCATCTCTTTACACACACTTCTGCTAGTGTCCTAAATTTGGGTTCCAAATGATCCAAAAATTCAAGCCCATCTTCTTCTTGCCGTTCACTGCAACAGCCTACAGAACCAGCCATGGATCCTTTTCCTTCATAGTTGTACTTAAGGATGTAGTCTTCAGCATGTTTATGATTGTCGCCCTGATTACACAACTGCACCTTCTGCCAAGGGGGAAAACACAATATATTTTATTATGATGATTTAAAACACCAAAACTTACTAACATAAAAATAATAGCTTTGATTTACCTTTGATTGTTAAATTTTTAATCAGAGTGTGTCCTCTAATGGATTCCTACATATAAAAAATGCATATAATTGGTCTGTATCATAAATCACACTATAAATTCACTACATAGCATGTTTCTAAAAGCCACATATGTGACTCAAGCAGACAAGTGTCACTTTGAGTCACTGCTTTCCCTCTTAAAATTATGGCTAAAGTGAAATGCATCCTTAAACTGATCCTAAACTGTGCAGGTTCAGATCTTTCCAGGTTTGCATAGTAGCTATACAGGCTGGAATCGCCTGGCATCACACTTTTGATTTCTAAGATTTGACTTGTCAGGTGGCAAATCTTAACAAAAAATCATGAGAAAAATATCTCACATTATTTCAAAAAGAACCAAAAGCCAAATATCATGTGAGGGAAATGTATACTTCACATCTGAATATAACTAAGATCACAATCAAGGAAAACAATTTTCCAATTAGTAGACTAATAATTAAAAATAAAGGTCAGGCCATTAAATTATAATCATTTAGAAAGCTGAAAAGAAATCAAAATAGATTTGTAGGACACTTAGGGAAACTCACTTCACCAAGGCGGGGCTGAGTGAAATTACGCCACTCGGAGTATGCGTGTCTGTAGCTGTCTGTCTCCACGTATCCTCCCCTGCAGGGATCCAGGGGGCGCTGTCCACCTCCCTTACAGGACTCCAGTGTGTGATGATGTCCAGCCCCCTGGCATGATTCCAAGGTCTGGTGTCCTTCTTTCACCATTTCAATGATCTCCTGCCCTCCATTTTTCACTCCTGATCCCATGGTGCCACAAACACCCTGATTGGAACTGCACACAGCATTTGTTGTGAAGCCATTTGCATAACACTGAAACAAAACACTTTGCATTAGAGAAAGGAGAAGATCAAAAAAAAAGAGAGAGAGAGAGAGAAGAAAAAGAACAAACCTTGCAGATAATGCCCTGAATTTTTAAGCTAGAAGGTAAGCTCTCTGAGGGCAGGCACTATGTCTGCCTTGGCAATACTGAGTACCTAACTATTGTAATGCTAGTATTCATGTGGTGGTCAATATAAGAAGCAAATTGCAGATGTCAAGTGGCTTACACCTTGAGACAAAAAGAAAAGCTTAATATACATGTCTTTAAAAACTCCTTAGAATACTGTACAACCTCAGTTCCTAAAACCTTCCAGTGTCTCACACCTCAAAGTCAGGTTGCCAGTACTATTGTCTCACGTGTATTTACGCTGCTTAGTTTAAAAGCATCCCCCTTCGCCTGACTAGGAAAAACCCAGAAATAATGATCAGTCTTTTTATTCAGTACCAAATCTAGTTCCCCTGCAACTAAAACAAAAATAATAGAAATAAAGTTCCATAAAAATCTAAACTGCAATAATAAGTCTTTGTGAGCTAAATAAATAAAAATAATAAAAATACATCAGCGGGGAAAGTAAGAATACAAGAGTTTTGGCCACTAATTTTCTGTTGTGTTTGGCCCCCAAGTTTTTTTTTTTCCATTACCTCCCTAGATGCCAACATCCTTTTGTTTTGTAAATTGTTCCTGCTCTAATCATCAATTATGCTTTTTGTTGAGAATTCCTTGTTCCTCATCAACACACTAGGCTAGAAATCAAAGTTGAGTCAATGTAGTAAATGGCTGGCATTGCTGTTTCATATATTTGACCTAAGTCTCCTTTCTAACCCACATTAGAGTCCGAAAGACTCCATTAAAATTCTTCTCACACTGATCAAAGCTTATAGTCATTTTATTGCTGTTGACATAAAAAAAAATTAACACAATTATGTTAGTGATCTGTGATAATAGTTAAATGAAACACTTTTACAACACAAACAATAGTTTCAATTTATTAAAAAGACTGGATCTAAAGTTTAAATCATGAAACATTTGAAGTAGAAAATAACATTGACATGCTAAAGGAATTTTATCATTAAGTAACACTATATGGTTAAATTGAGATGCCATCTATTACCATGGCAATTGACATCATTTTATATGTTCCATGGAACTGATGGCATTTTTATTTATAGCAAGTTACCTGAACTTGCAAAAGAACTTTGTTCTGAAAATATAACAGTAGGTGGTTAGGCCAATTCATCCTTCGTATTTATTTTTAAAAGACAAACTACTTACCACTTTGTCATCTCCAGGAGCTTCCGTGTTTGAAATAATGAGGTTCTGCTGAGCCAAATCCTCAGGAAGTTCTTTTTGCTTTTTGGCTGCCCCGGAAGTCGTACAGACTAAGGTAAATAGGATACCTAGATGATGAGAGAAATAACTTGAGTTTACCATAAAACAGTGTGAAGCAATTAATGTATGACGCCTAATACAAAGACAGCTTTCCAGAAAGTGCATACACGACGGCTTGTGTAAAATTAGCATATACAATAGAAAAATCTGCCTTAACCACAGAGGCCACAAGGGCATGCTAAATGTTGTAATTCTATGTTAAATTTTGTTTATGCTGCGGTAACAGAACTATAAATAAATGCACTTTCAATATATAAATTAAATGTGTATGTTATATAAGAATACTGCTCTATACACACGGTTATAGATAACAGTGTTTATCTAAGAATGTGTCTTGAAAGTTATTTTAGAGGTTATTATTTGAATTCACAAAGGGACTCACAACATAACAAGGCTATGCCCAAAAGTATTGCAAGGATGGCCCATGGTCCAAGTTTCATTTCCGCTTTACCAGCCGCTGGAACCACGCGAAGCGTGCAGTCATTTTCAGTAACACAGTCACAAATTATAACATCTAATGATGTGACGTGTGACAAGCCATGTTTGTCTGTAACTCTGACTGGTACAATATATGGTCCAAATGGAGGATCATTTTGATACAAAAGACGTGCTGCTGTATCTGAAAGAAAATAAAAGCAAGCATTACAGAATGCCATTGAATTCTCCTGAGCATAAATAAATAGTGGTAAGATAACCACTGAATTTCTCTACAAATGGGTATTTCCACTTGTAGCTCAAGTGCTACCAGACTGTAAATGTGAGTGGACTGAGTTGTTCTAATCTATAGCTGTTGCAAACATGCTGTGTATAAAAGTTTGTCTCTGATGCCTCTTAAAAAAAGGTCTTTTGGTTTTTATAATAATACATTTATCTGTTCATAAATTCTTCCATTCCTAATAAACTTGTTAAGAGATTGGTTTTTATCATAGCTTTAAAAACTTTAATGTAATCATTCAGTGTATATTTTCTTTTACATGATGCATCAGATTATTATTTCATAATAGTCTGAAATTCTAGACACAGTGCCTTAACTTCTATATGGCTTTCTTTTTCTTCCTCCATCCTCTTTTCTTTACCTTTATTCAAAAACTTTTTTTTTTCTAATTTGCCATAATGGGAAACTGAAGACTATCCATTGAAAGCCTGGGGTTGGAAATTATTCCATAGCATTTTAAACACAAACCCCATTCAGCTTAATGGACTGTGAGTTACGAAAGCTGGAGCACAGGGAGACCAGGACATCGGGCCCACGGGCAGTCCAGTCAGGAGATGGAGAATGGAGTTAAGAGCTGATGCAGAGAGCAATGCAGTGGTGTTACGGACAGAGGTCCCCTTTACTTTCGCCATTCTTGTCACCATAGCTATCATTGTGCTTAAAGGCAGAAATATAGACGAGGAGCCGAGTTAGGGGAGAATCCCAAGTAGAAAATGATAGAGAAGAAATGGTCAGAAGCCACTGCAGCAGAGAGAGGAAAGTATGGTGGACACTGTGACACACATCCAGATCCCCTTGCAATCAGGGACTTACTATCCTAGCTGCTTGGGAGACAGCAGCAGCTTTAGAGATTGTGCTCTCCTGTCACGTCTTTCACAGTAGCCCAGCCCACTGAACGAGCAAGGAGAAAGTAAAGAGACTCAAGTTGGAGACACCTTGAAGAGCCAGTTAGCTCAGTCTCCCATCATAATAGACTCCCATGGGGTCAGCTGAGACTGTTCCTTGGCTGGAGCTGCAGTTTGATCTCTTTGCCCCGTCCTGCTTCACTTCCTGTCCCAGCCAGTGATGCCAAGCAAACTCTTTACTAAATATTCTGCCTGACAAACATTGTCTCAGAGCTGCTTCCTGGGGGACTCATTATAGAACCATTAATTAGCATGGCAAGAATCCATGAAGTGGGAGTTACCCAAGTCAGGAAGTGATTATATTAGACCTAGTCTAAGGGTGTGTGTATGTGGAGCAAGAATGAAAATAAGAATTCACATGACTCTTAAGGGAATCCTTAGCACCAGAGGGACCCAAGTCCCACCACCCTAAAACTGAGAAATCTGCCTTTTTTCACTAGCGGTTCCCACCTAATGAATTATTCTTCTATCTCATCAAGAAAGAAGTATGTTAGGGTTGGGGGAAGATGAACAGGGTTAAAGAGGATCAAATATATTATGATGGGAGGAAATCACACCTTGATTGTACACCTGAAATTTATATAATGTTACACCACGAAATTTAATTTAAAAAATTTAAAAAGAAAAAGGATTTTAGACGTCCTGATGTTGAAAAGGATGATGTAATGGTTAGATATACATACCATTGATTGCTGTCAGTCTCCACATTGTGTGTATATTTGAGTCAGAATCACCCTCCAAACTGAAGCTAAAGGGTGGGCCATTTATAGGGTCATCGGGATCGAAAGCAACAAGTACCGCAGAGGACATGACGGTTTTGCAGATCACCACTGTCTGTTTCGGTATTAACGGGCCATTATCATTCACATCTTCAAGTATGATTCCCAGTGTCCCAGTACATGTTCTCCCACCTAGAAAATTAATATATAAATGCAGTTTTTTAATGTTTTATGTTATGACTAGAAAATTGCACATTAAAGATTTTTAAAAATATACTTATTAAGCACCTATAACATATAAATGACAGTGACAAGTGGTAATAGGTTATGTCTTTAGAAATGTTAAAAGTAAAATATTATCACTTTCAAATGAGTTTTACAAACAATAACTGCTATTGAGATTTGTCATTCATTCACTAAATAGCCATACTTCACATGGAAACTGTTACAGATATGAGTTTTGACTACCTTTTAAAAAGGGAAAGGAAGGAAAGTACAAACAAGGACATTTCTGGTATATTTAAAAGCACAAGGAAATTTAAAAATTAAAAAACACAGGATGCACAACCATAGTCTAGACACAATGAAGGGAAAGCAGAGAGGTAGGTATCTCATCTGTGTGGCAAACTTTCTATCAGGACACAATAATCTCACCTCTTAACCTGTCTTGCTCTCATGCTATGTGGTCCTTTCTCATTCTCTCTGAGAACTGGGACTGCTGGATGTCTTGAACATCTCTTTCCACTGGGCTCACACACAAATTTGAAAGCACAAATCTTACCATTCAAGTCTGATTGATTGTACTGTTCCTACGGTATTTGCTCTTCTACTTCTGTGCTAATGCTTCAATTTCCCTTCCATGAACTATTTAGAGTTGCAAATTAAACTATAGTCTTTTTGCACATTATAATTAGTATTGTTACAGAACATTTAAATCAAAGATTTTAGGTATCTAACTCAGTGTTTCACAGCCATTTTTCATCTGTTAGTGAAATAAATAATACTCTCTTATTCTTTGGAGTGTAGGCATGCAATGCTCACCTTCTAATATTAATATTAATGTAATTCTATATGGGTAAGTACTAATTCCAAATGTAGTCATGTCAAAGGAATTCCCCATCGTCCCGTGATTTGTGTGCATGAAACTTTCCTGTTAAATATTTTAAAGAACTGAAAATACATTCCTCTCCATATTTGGAATACACAACAAATATAGAAACCTAAAACTCAGCAATACTAGAGAAGATACCTGGGTGAAATCGCCAAAAATGTAGGCTGAGAAGCAACTGAGAAAAAAAGCAAAATTGAAATCAAATTGAACTAGCTCTCTTTAGGAGAGGAGAAGCTAGCAAAAGCAGAAAGCATATAGGAAAGGGGAATGTGTTGAAAAGTAAAGACATAGAAGCCTTGAGAGAGAGTTTTAAAAAGAAGAAACAGGTGCTTTGGAGTAGTAGGAGGGTGGGAAGTGAGCGTGGCCCAGAGGTCAGTGCTCCCAAGAGAGAACGTCTTCCATTGGGAATTAGCAAGAAGGCCCTGAGGCAGGCAAAGAGCTAGAAATGAGGAAGTTCCAAAGGTACCTGCAGCAAATGTAAAATAGGCTAAAGAAAGCGAGCCAGACAACTTGGGCCAGACAGCCTGAGATCCTGACATAATTACCTCACTCCCCACAAGTAACTGGGCTTGCAGCAGGAGACTTGGAGACAATAGATAAAATAAAAATGAGGAAGTCCTGGGAGGCTGGCATAGAGTAAGTGGCTGACACTGACACTTTAGCAATACCCTGAATTCTGAAAATAGACTTGTAATAGCATAGTAATACTTAAAACCACAGCCACTAGGCAATCAGGGAGAACTATGGGTAATCTGCTATGCACCATAGCAGAAAAATTACATAACACCTAACATAAGTGCAGTATAAAGTATATTAAGAATAGGGAAGTAAAAAGCCTTATAAAATTTAGCCCCTCAAACAACAGGGTGCCTTTCTCCATTCAGGGGATCAGCTTGTTCCCATATACTGCGGACTGTACCAGCCTTCATAAAGCTTGCTTGCTTTGCTTTACTTGGTTTGTGTGATTCGTCCAATTCTTTGTTCACGATCACCTGGTTATCTGTGCATACCTGTGACTGGCCCAAATGAAATTAGCCAGCATAGATTTTAGGAAAAGGTAAAAAAACGGGAAGAAACAAAAAAGTATATTTAATATTATCTCAGTTAATAAAATAAAAACATGTGTAATTACCTATCCCCCTACCTTCTTAAAGCAAATGGGAAAGGCTTTATTACACATTTATTTTATACCACAATGATGATTAATAGGGCCTCTCAACTAAGTTCAAAAACAATATTTGATCCCTCAATTATTTTAACTCTTCCACAACAGTAAAGAACATAGAAAAAAATTATATTCAAAATCTCTAATTCCAGCCCTGGCCAGTGTGGTTCAGTCCGTTAGGAGTCTTCCCGCAAACTGAAAGGTTGTGGGTTCATTTCCTGAACAGGGCACATGCCTGGGTTGCAGGTTCAGTCTCCAGCGAGAGTACATAAGAGGGAAGCCATTCAATGTTCTCCTCTCACATCGATGTTTCTCTCCCTCTCCTTCTCTTACCCTTCCCTTCTCTCCAAAATCAAAAATAAAAATAAAATAAAATAAATGAAAAAATCTCTTCTTTCAGACAGTAATTTTTATCTCATCTATCAATAAACCATTTGCCAAGTGCTATCAAAATATAAAAATACTGGATTTGAGTTTCATATTATTTTTCTTTTTTATATTTGCATTTGACCAAAAAATATGTCTTACCAAAGACACATGAGAAGCTGAGGCTTCAACAGTCTTTAACTGGTTGAAGTTAATTAATAATGATTACATCTTTATCAATTTAATCAACAAATTATGAGGCATTTCTCATTAATTTAGAAGCAACTGAAATATCTAAAGCATTTTCCATACTACTCAGCAGAAAGAAAAAAAGAACTAGTAAACTTCGCGACAGCATGGATGGAACTGGAGAGCATCATGCTAAGCGAAATAAGCCAGGGGGCGAAAGACAAATACCATATGATCTCACCTATAAGCGGAACCTAACCAACAATGCAAAAATGCAAGGAAAATATGACCAGCAACACTGAAAGGAAAAGAAATCAACAGAGACAAGAAGGAAGGGGGGGGCCGGGAAAGGGAAGGGAAGGGGAAAGTCAAGGAACATATAGCAAGGACTCATGGACAAAACCAAAGGGGAAGGGTTGAGGGGGGGAGGGAAAGTGGTGGGGGGAAGGCAGAGACAAATGTATTTGAAAAGTAAATAAATTTTAAAAAATAAATAAATAAATAAATTCTAAAAAAAAGTAAAATAAAGCATTTTCCAATTTCACTTTGAAATTCTAATTTTGCAAGCTACAGTGTAATAATTTATATTATCATAGCTAGCATATTTATTTTAAAAAGGCACAAAAAGTTCAAATGTCATGTAATAGCAAAATTATATTTTATGCACTAAATGAATCTCATATATGATCATTGTGTTCATATTTCTCTCAATTTTGTAGGACTTGCAAAACATTATTTTACACTTTATAATAGATTATATGGATTTGTATGACTTGGCTTTCCAATTTTACAATATACTATTAATCATGACTATGACTTATTTTTATATAATGTCCTTACTCAGAATTTTAACCCCCAAGTATACTGTGAGTTTCCTGTAAGGAGACAGAACTGTTTTCTAGGAGTGCACTGTGGGGCAATAAGTATTTTCTCTATAATAAAATTTTCTGCTAAAGCAAATATTTTAAGAGCTATAAGTAGATGAATGGAAGCTAATTTTACTGATTTTCTCAATTTTCAATGTTTAAGTTTTATTATTAGTTGCAAGTATTTCTATGACTAAGTTATTTTATAATTACATCTAAGGTGCTACTGGAAAGCAGACATGAGGTAATAAATTACAGCAAACCCCTCAATTACTTTATATGTCATCTGGGGAGAAATACATTTTGAGAATGTATACAGCTAAGTAAAAAATGTGCGTTGCTGGTTTAACAGGTGAGGGTGCATGTAGTTGAGGATGTGTGCAGCTGGTTTAAAAACAAAGTTCTTACCTATGTCTGATGCAAGGATCGTAACATTATATATACCATTGGTGATGGACTCTGCCTCTCTATCCAAGCTTCTGAAAGTTGTGATTGATCCTGTGTATTCATCAACAGTGATCCACCCTTTTGGATCATTTAATTTCTTATACCTGTTAATAAAGAATTAAAATAAGAAGATGTATCAGAAGCCAAATTATGATCCTGGTGTCAAAATAAAATACAAATTTTAAAAACATGCTAAATTTGGAGCCAATTAAATTGAATTATTAGTACCTTATGCCACTGCTACTTTTTGTTTCTGGGTCATACGCTTTATATCCACTGCTCTTTGTTCCCACTGGTGCACTTTCTTGAATTCGAACAATTTGCACTGGAGGGGTACACTCAGGGCCCTCATCCTGATCTTTTACATTAACAATAACTGTAGCCGTGCTCATGGCTGATCTTGAAGTAATATCTCTGAAATACGGCGCTTCATTAACAACACCAATTTGCAGGGTCAGCTGTCGTCTTTCTTCATAATTCAGCGGCTACAAAAGCAAGTGTGCTGAAAATCAGTTCAAGACATTTCATATTTAGCAATGCAAACTAGTGTCTATAACTACTTAAATCTGGGAATACGTGAGTGCTATGTTGTGAACAGTCACGAGAATACTAAGCATTTACCCAGGAACGAGGTGGCAGTGGGAGGAAGTCAATCCTTCAACTGACTCAGTATTTGGGAAAGCCAGCAAAAGAAAACAGAACAAAACAAAAACAAGCAAAGAACCTGTTCCCCAATTGCAAGTTTAACATAAGTAACACAGGTCCTGATAACAGTTTCAGGAAGTATTTAATAAAAGTGCTTCAAAGTTAACACTTGAGATGTTACTATAGGAGTTCCATACCCTAACCACCTGTTATTTACTTCCTCATTAATGTCGAGGCAGCTTATCCTACCCTCCTGAGATGAATAAAGTTATTTGTACCTGGTTTAAGGTAGGATATGTGGGTTGAATTTTATAAAACATTTTAAAGAAAGAAGAGACAAGAGAGTAGAGAGCTAATGGACATTACACTTTTTTCTCTTTCCTATCCTAGTTACTTTCCATGAAACTGGTAGTACCAAGTTTAATGGAAGTTGTTTGTTGGGGTTTTTTTTGCCTGATATGTACTTGTAATGAGAAGGGGTGAAACCATTTCCTAGTAGACAGAATTGTGTCAGGTCTTAGAATTCAGAGAAATGAATTTTCTTCTTAGAATACCAAGGATTAGGGCAGAGGGTGGGCGAAGAAAGAAACAGGATTGAAAAGGCATTTCTTTGCTGTTTTAAACAAAGGAAACCCACATTGCAGCTAATCTTCATCATTGTAAGAAAAACACACTTATCATTTTTGGTCCATGCTCCCTGTGAATATGTACAAAAGGGAAACTCCATGGACCCAGGACCGAATCATGTTCTAGTTAAAGATGCGGCAGATGAAAGTCTAGGATTCTGTCTGAAGCTGAGGCAGCTCAGATTGCTTTATGGGTAACAGTAGCTGCTGCATTAGCAGCGAGTTCTTCTGAGATGCAGTAGAGTAGAATGATAAAGAAGTTTTACAAGTATTTACAAGTTTGAACTGCAGAGGCTTTTCATGCTGAACCGGGAAACTAAGGATGCAATGTACACCAAATACAGAGGACAAGGTCTACCCACAGCCTCCCTCTCGGTTTGATCCATAGTAACTCAGCATCTGCGAAAGGAGGAAGTGGAGGCTCCTGGACCCAGCTACAGAAACACAGGCTGGGAGAGTCCGGCACTGACCCGTGGGCCTCGCAGCCGTACTGGTTTCTGGATTGTTAAGAGACTGGTTACAAAGTAAGTACTATTATCAGATTATATGAACATATGTATATATATCTATAATATTTTTTAAATCACACTTTTATGTAAAATTCCCCACACTAGTAATTTTTAATTAATTTATGAAGATAGAATTGTTTCTGAAATTAAAGTGCTACTTATGGACTATCGAATCAATTGGCCAAAAAGTACAAATTTTGAGTTATAAAATAAATATATCATGGAAATGTAATACAGCATGGTGATAGTAGTTAATAATACTATATTGCATGTTTGAAAGTAGCTAGAAGAATGGATCTTGAAAGTTCTTATCATAAGAAAAAAAATTTTTGTAAGTATGTATGGGGACAGATATTAACTAGACTACATCCTGGTGATTATTTTGCAATATATGTAAGTGTCAAATTATGTTGTACACCTGAAATTAATATAAATTAATATAATGTTATGTCAATTATATCTTAATTTAAACAAAAAGTTTCCTAAAATGTATATTCATCCTATTATACATGAATAACATAGCATTTACATTTATCTATATATATATTTTATTCCTACATTTACCAAAATTCCTTTCTTTTTATTAACTGTAGTATACTAATATACAATATTATAAAATACAAACAACTAATTTACTAATATATTCTTACCTTAACCACATATAGAACTCCTTCATTGGTTTTGGGGTCCGTTACAATTTTAAAGTTTCCATTTTCATTGCCTTTTAAAATGGTATAATTAGCTCTCCAGTTGGAAGTATTAAATAAATCCTTATCCTCAACGCTAACACGTAAGATTTCCACATCAACTTGATTTTCTTCTACTGATGTCTCATACTAAAACAATAAAAACGAAACAAATTTAATTAGTAACTCTCACAAAAACAGAACACCATGTGTGTAGTAAGCCCGCTTTTTCTAATTTCCAAAGTATTATGTTTACATGATTTTAAACCCCAACTCTCAACTGCTGTCCAGGGGATGCTTCATTAGAAATCATGTGACAGGGATGGAGATGCGCATATTTAGCAATTCATGCGGGATTGCACATTTTTCTTTTTATTAATATCATGTACTTACGGAAGTACGAGTAAAGGTTGGCAAGTGGTCATTCACATCTTCAATTTGAATGATGCAAGTTGCAGTCGTGAACAACCCGAAATGTTGACCATTCATGTCTTGTACCTTTATTTTCAATTGGTATTTATCAATTACCTACAAAGAAAGTAGGAATTTAATTACTGAGTGAAAGCAACATTGTAAATGAAATTTTTTACTCCACAATTTTCCTTGCATTAAAAATTTAAGAGGTACGCTATTAAATTTCATAGCTTCCGTGTGCTGGCAGAAGAATAATTTCCTCACACGTACATTTAAAATTGCCTAGTAGCCAATCAAAATCTTCATCTCCTATGCAAAACACAATCTTATGTTCAAAAATACATAACAGTGACTTATATACCAGTGTTGCAAAGAAGCAATAAGATGAATATCATTCTGTAAAAAAGATGGATTTTAAATATTTACTTTACATTGATAAAAAGATCACAAATTAGCATGAAAACAAGAGTCTTGGTTAATGTCATTTTTGTCCCCAGTGGAAATACAATCTGGCTTTTGAGACTTTACATTCATCAGAGACTGCAGAAGGCTGATCACCAGCTTTAAAAAAAATGTGTTTCTCCTCATAATGGTTTTATTTATTATAAGTAATTGAGATGTAGAATGACTATAAATACTGATAATAATGCCTCTAGATGAACATGAAGAGACTTGGGTTCTTTTCTAATTCCCAAAATAATAAATATAATCTCAGGCAGTTGGAAAATTCTCTTTACATAGGTTTATTCTTCAATAAAATGATGATAATAATATATTTCCTACATAATATTTTGTAAAACAAAATAATATGTGAAAACTATCCTATGTTCATTCTCTTATATAGCCACCTTCTTCCCTTAATTCCACCACCTCTTAAACATTCTTGTCTTCATACATTTCCTAAACACTAAAATTTATCTCATTCCTAAACTCTAAAATTTCTCTCATCCCTATGCTTTTTATACATAAAATTTTCTGATTTACTTTTCTCTCATAACCAATTACATATGTTGACTTGAAAAGTAACAGCTTTATTGCATTTAAAAATTCTGAAAACCTCATGCTTGTATACTTTCAGGAGGAAATACATATTTTGCTTGTAGTGAATTAGCACATTGGAAACAAACAACTGGTTAATAAAACAAAGAAATTAAGTTTTGTGGGCCTAAATATTAACTTGTGATATCCTCCAATGGAAGAAAAATTCTGATGTTTAAAGGGCTTGAAAGATTGAAGATGACACAGGAAAACTGGGATCCTGTAGTCCAAAAGTAGTTCTGGTGCACTCCTGGGGAAAAGTACTCCCAGGCCCCTTTGTTAGATTTTAGCTGATTCTGTCAGAATTGTCCATTCAAGACAATGCTGAAGGAATTCGTTTAGGCATTCAAATTGGAAAGGAGGAAGTAAAACTGTCATTGTCTGCAGATGACATGATAGTGTTCATAGAAAATTCTATAGACTCCACAAAAAAACTACTCGACCTAATAAATGAGTTCGGCAAAACAGCAGGATACAAAGTCAATATTCAGAAATCGAAGGCATGTTTGTACACCAACAACGAAATAGCAGAAGCAGAAATCAGAAAAAAAAGACACCATTTGCTATAGCAACAGGAAAAATAAAGTACCTAGGAATAAATTTAACCAAGGAGGTAGAAGACCTGTATGCAGAAAACTATACAACACTGAAGATAGAAATTAAGGAAGACACAAATAAATGGAAGCATATATCGTGTTCACGGATTGGAAGAATTAACATCATCATAATGTCCATACTACCCAAAGCAATTTATAGATTCAACACAATCTCTATTAAAATAGCAATTATGTATTTCACAGAAATAAAACAGACATTTCAAAAATTTATATGAAACCATAAATGACCCCGAATAGCCACAGCAATTTTGAGAAAGAAAAACAATACCAGGAGGGATCACAATACCAGACATCAAACTATATTACAAGGCCACTGTAATTAAAACAGTCTGGTACTGGCAAAAGAACAGACACATAGATCAGTGGAACAGAATAGAAAGCTCAGAAATAAACCCATGTCTCTATGGTCAATTAATATTTGACAAAGGGGGCAGAAGCATAAAGTAGAGTAATAATAGCCTCTTCAACAAATGCTGTTGGGAGAGCTGGACAGCTACATGCAAAAAATTGAAATTTGATCACCAACTGACACCATACACAAAAATAAACTCAAGATGGATAAAAGACTTAAATATAAGTCACGACACCATAAAAGTCCTAGAGGGGAACATAGACAGGAAAGTCTCAGGTATCCCACGCAGTAATATTTTCACTGATATGTCCCCTAAAACAAGGGACATAAAGGAAAGAATAAACAAGTGGGACCTCATCAAAATAAGAAGCTTCTGCACGGGTAAAGAAAACATCAGCAAAATGAAAAGGGAGCCAACCATATGGGAAAATATATGTGCCAGTGATACATCAGGTAGAGGTTTGAGCTCTAAAATATATAAAGAATTCACACAACTCCACTCCAAGAAGACAAACAATTCTATTAAAAAATGGGCAGAGGACCTGGGCAGACACTTCTCCAAGGAAGAGGTACAGAGGGCCCAAAGACATATGAAAGGATGCTCGACATCACTAGCCATCAGAGAAATGCAAATTAAAACCACAGTGAGATACCACTCCACACTGGTCAGAATGGCCATCATAAACAGATCAACAAACAACGGGTGCTGGCGAGGCTGTGAAGAAAAGGGAACTCTAGTACACAATTGGTGGGAATGCAGACTGGTGCAGCCACTAGGGAAAACAGTTTGGAATTTCTTCTAAAAGCTAGAAATGAAACTGCCTTTTGACCTAGTGATTCCACTGCTGGGATTATACCCTAAGAATCCCAAAACGCCAATTCAAAAGAACCTATGCACCCCAATGTTCATAGCAGCACAATTTACAATAGCCAAGTGCTGGAAGCAACCTAAGTGCTCATCAGTGAATGAGTGGATCAAAAAACTATGGTACATTTACAGAATGGAATACTATGCAGCAGAAAGAAAGAAAGAGCTACTACCCTTTACAACAGCATGGATGGAGAGCATTACGCTAAGTGAAATAATCCAGGGGACAAAAGACAAATACCATATGATCTCACCTACAAGTGGAACCTAACCAACAAAACAAACAAGCAAGGAAAATATAACGAGCAACATTGAAAGAAAAAAGAAACCAACAGAGTCAAGAGAGAAGGGGGGGCAGGGAAAGGGAAGGGAAAGGTCAAGTCAAGGGACACGTATAAAGGACCCATGGACAAAGCCAAAGTGGGAAATAACTGAGGGAGGGAGGGAGGTGGGAGAGGGGCCAGGAGGAAGTGGTGGCTGGAAGGTGGAGACAAATGTATTTGAACAAAAAAAAAAAAAAAAAAGAATGATTTTTAGTTCAGAAAAAAAAGTGGAAGAAAAAAAATTGGTTTATAATCTGCTTTACCTGCACACATAAATTCCATGAAGAACCTGCATAATATGTAGAGCTCTAACACTAACTTATTCATTTATCCAGCAAATGATATTGTATTCTTCACTGGCACATACTATAAAAAGTAACTGAATTTATAAATAATATGGCAAATAAGTGCCAATTTCACTTAGAAATTTCTTTGTGGATGCAGTAAAAAATGATTAATTCTATTAAATTTCAACCCATAGTCCATGTGAAGCAATGGGAGGTGTGCACAGAGCACTTCTGGTGAGTAACGTAGTCTGGTCTTTGTCTTACAGAGAAGCACTTCTGTGATTGATTTATGAGCTGAACTAGCTGTTGTTTGTTTTTTTAATAAAATACCATCTTCACATGAAAGACATCTGGTTATTCAGATTGGTACATGTGAAAAATCACATTTTGTCAAATATAACATAAACAATACTTTAAGGGGAAGAACTACTTATTAATAATAATAAATTGGAGTGTTTAAACAAAAATGAGATTCTAGAAAATTTTTATCAATCACTGTGATATTAATGGACGTGAAGAGATGGTTTTTAACATTGTTTAATGAAATGTATTCTGCATAACTTAGTGAATCAATATGACGAATGTATGATGTTACAAAACCACACATGGGTGAACTCTCCACACAGTACAGATAGACCAATGGATTTTAATGAACAATGGATGAAAGTTCATTGATAAGGCTTCAGAGTGCACTTTTCAAAAAACATTTATGAAACTACCATTTGTCAAATTTTGGTGTAATTTCAAAGATGAATATCCACAAAGATCTGAAATTACTATTAAAATATTTAATACTCTATTCTTTTTTAGCTTTGTATCTGTTGCTTTTTGTTTTTGTTTTTTAATGTACATTCATTAATGCTGCCTTTTACAACAGAGTCATTGCAGGAGGTGTAGGAAATCATCTGTCTTACATAAAACCAGGTATTAAAGAGATTTGAAAAACTGCATAATAATATCACTATTCTCACTAAATTGTTTGTTTATTATTTTGGAAAATGCAATTTTTTCTATAAATTTTTTATGTTAACATGTAATTTACCCATTATTATTTTAATTGGATAATTACATACATATTTTAAATTTTTATCAGTTTTAAATACTAATGGGTAAATACTGATCAATATAACCCACATAAACAAAATGTCTTTGGAATCTTCAAAAATACTTCAGATTGAAAAGGGATTTTGAGATCACAAAATTGGAAGACCACTGCTCTATTTCATGAGGTATAAAGAGAATAAGAGGAAATGAACCTGATATGAAGTTGTAGGAATCAAGGAAACATATACTACTATGTTTTAAAATTAAGAATTATAAATGTAGTAAGTAGACCAGATAAATTGCTCTAAGAATTCAGCTGAATATACGCTTGGTGAAGGAGGTAACAGTTGAATAACCAGTGAATAAATTACTAAAATATGACAGTTGCAGTGGAAATGGACAGAATATAAAAGTGAAATAATCTTGAAGGTAATATCAGCATGCTTTGGGAAATGATTTGATCTAGGGGGTACGAGGGGATGTCAAATATAATTTGGAGAACATGAATTCAAGGACATAATAGAAAAATTATGAACAGGAAAAGAATATATTCATGCCATTTTTCTAGAAAAGATGGGAAACAGAAAATGTTTAGGACAGAAAAGTTCAATTTTAGATGTACTGCATTTTAGGTACATTTGAAACATCCAAATAAATATTTCTAACAGTCAACTGAAAATGATAAACCAGATTAGAGAGATAGTACTCGTTTTAATCTATGCAAGGGGAAGAGTGCAAAAAAATCTATGGGGGAAGACACGATGCAGACAGAAAAGAAGCACTGTTACCTGTGGATAACAAATTTCTACACATTTCCAAAAGTCTCACTTTTTATATTTGATACTTGTTTTTAACACTACAAATCTTTATATTAGGAAGCTCAATTTTATAAAACACAACTCAGGAGAGAATCAATTAAGAGTTTCAAAACTAGTGCACAGCAAAGGTAATGACATGACGCCCCCCCCTCGTTAACATACTTAAAATGATGATTTTTCTAAAATTAGATTCACAACATACTTTTCAAAAACACATTTATAGGTGATATACAGACATATACAAGTACTATTAACAATGTGGCAAACAAATTTTTTGTTAATATTGATGTTACCTCTCTGTCTAGCTGTGATGATGTGGTAATCACCCCTGTAGATGAATGCATAAAAAATACGGTAGGTGATGCTGGCAACTGCTCGAGGATGGAGTACTTCAGGAGCGTGTGAAGCGTGCCGGGTTCATCTTTGTCAGTTGCATACACCTGCCCCACGGTAGAACCTATGTATTGAAAAATCCTCTTTAATTTCCAAAACTTTTACACTTTTGACTTTCCCTTCATATCACTCCTTTCCATCTATTTTGGAAATGTTTTGGAACAATTATATACCAGAGTAATGATAGTTTTTATAATAATTATACAATAGTATGACAATAGTTTGTGGATTCCTATATAAAGTATCCCTTCTTTTTAAATATCCGAGCAGCCTAACATTTTTGATATATTTTTCCCTTTTTATTAAATTTTGGGGGGTGACAGTGGTTAACAAAATTATACAGGTTTCAGGTACACAATTCTTTAAAACACATCATCTGTATACTGTATTGTGTGTTCACCACCCCAAGTCAAGTCTCCATTCATCACCATTTACCAGCAGCTTAACCTTTTGGAATTTGATGACCATATCCATATTTTCTGTGTTTAATGTATAATTTTATAAATGTTGATAACATCCCTTCATGGTCTTCTTATTTCTAGACTAAAGAGTTTTAATTATTTTTTAACCTTTTTCTATTTGCAAGATTGTACTTAAATTGACCATATGGGTATGTTTTCTCTGAAAATTTTTGGTTTAGTTAGACATCTCTGGAGGGGAATTAAAAAACAGCATTCTGTCTTCCAGCTAAAATGATCCATTCTCACAAGATGAGAAAACATTTGCAGTATTCTCAATGACATTTATGGTTGATTATGCCCAGAATATAGTCAATCATTTATTCACTACAGAACATCAATAGATCTCTTAAAGGCTAAGACTTCAGTTGCTCAAAGGCTTATTCTTTTTTGGAGTATGTTCTCCTAAAAGTATTTTATTTTATCTCAAACAGGAAGGCAAAGTAACAGTTACTGAACAACTCCTATTTTTCAGGCACTGTACTTGGCATTCCATGTGTACTATGGTTCATTTAATTTTCATGACAAACTTCCATACTGATTCCTCATGTTACAGATTGTGATTGTCAAAATTTAAAAAACTGCCCAAAGCCACAATACACAGCTAGCTAGTGAAAGGGAGAGAAAAATCCTCCCTTCTCCAGCAGCCTGATGTCAAAGTCCCTTTCCCTCACCAGCAAGTATTCTGCCTCCCAATTTCAAAGGAAAACTGAATTATTAAAGTGAAACACCAAGGTGCCATACACTGTTAAAGTGGGTACTCACCAACTCTGCTATGTTCAGCAATTGTGAAAATGTAAGTTGTTTCTGTAAAAATTGGGAAATTATCATTTTCATCCTCAACTTTGATTATTAGGTTAAGTGGACGTTCTAGACTATATCCATCTGGAGTTGTTGCCAAGGCAATTAACTGTGAAGAGGGTAAAATAAGAAGAGCAAAAATAATCCATCAAAATATGTTTCAAACTAGCGTTGGCTTTAAGTTGTAGACTTTTTAGCACTGCAATATGAAGTTTACCATTTTTTATTGTATTTGGATGTGGACATACCGTAATGCTACAAAAGGAGGTTAATTTCATGGTTGTAGTATAGCATTTTATGTTTAAATTTGTTTACTATAATAGATAATTTTGTTTTCCTCACCATTGCTATATTGTTGTTCAAGAGTATAATGGGGTTTTTTTCTATTTTCTTTTTCCAAAAACAGTCTTAAGGATTATTATGTATTGTTTTGTTTGAAAGTTTCAGGTACATGAGTTTTAAATACAATTTTCTTTTTTTAACTTTGGATTTTTTTTAGCTTTGGATTCTTCAGATTCCAAATTACCCATGTGCAGTTATCTGAGATATTGTCTTACTTTCAAATATTAATTATGACTTTAAGCATATTGATGGTTATATTTAGATAACTGTCTTCATACATACTTTTGAATTAAAAAAGGGAAATCAGAAATAGAACCAATGAATGTCTGTACGTTGTGTGAAATACAATTCACTTCATTGATTTTAAAATATAAATTTCCAGTTTTTCTCATAACAGCTATTATAGAAAGAACAGAGCAACACAGGTAGTTAGAGGCTCGTGTTGTAGCAATTCTAACCCTGGATATTTAATTCAAAGTTTGCATGCCTATTCAATTAATTTGGTCTACTGGTGAATCATTAATTAATCTAAAATATATAGAAAATAATTAAAACTGAACTAAACTAAATGACCAAGATTTGTTGGAAAAATCAATACATTAGGTTAAATTCTTACATTGTTAACTCTTACTTCACCATGGGGAGCTACCCAGATGAAGAAAAGACTGAATGATCTTTCTTAGTTAAGCACTGTCTGTGGTCTGTAGGCCTTACTTGCTCACCACAAGTGAATTTTCTCCCATGGCAAAGGGAGAGGTAATGTTAAACTTCACTTACCCCCCAATCTCTCTCTCTACCGTAAAGAGATTCACAGATCTTTCCTGTCAACTAAATAACTGTTTTTGAACTGGCACTCTTTTTTCTTTGGAAAAAAATAGTAAAACTATAATACCAGGAAATTTCTAATAGAATCTATGAAATTCTTTTTGTCTTAAGCCAAGGCTGTACTACCAGAAGCACAGATGACAAATTCAGAAAACAGAAAAGGGTAAATGAATTGAAAATGAGGAAAAAAGTCAAGTTGATTAATTGCTAATATAATCTATAAACTTTAGACTTTACCTCAAAAGATTCATACTGCTCACGATCTACAGAACGATTACAATACAGTTTTCCAGTATCCCTGTCTACAGAAAATAAATTCAGGGGTTCTTCGTCAACTCCAGGTCCTCTTATAGAATAGTATATAGTGTAGTTTTGTGCTGTATCAGATTCAATCTGGAAGGTAGATAATGACATGAAATAAATTTTTATTTCAACAAAATTTTCATCTATATATTTATACAATCATATTGCTATTTCTATTGAAATATCTAACTGCTCTCTTTATTTATTATTATGTATGAATAAAAAGCAACAAGAGAATAAGGACACCTATAATTGAGGCATGTCAAGAGCAAGGCATGAAGAAAATAATATAGTAGCATCTTAGTTTCCCAGAAAAACTAAGGAACACTTTAAAGGCTAAATGATACCTATATGGACCGAACATCTTTTCCTGCTTTAGAAAACAAGGTATTCTGAGCATGAAAAATTACCTCGTTGCCATTAAAAAACAAACAAACAAAAATAACAAAATTTGAATTTTTATTTTATACAGGGGTGGGCAAAAGTAGATTTACAGTTGTAAAACAAATGAAGAATACAGTAATTAATAAATAATTATACAAGAATAAACAGTTTCATGTACTCAGAACTGTAAACCTACTTTTGCCAATCCTGTATGATATAGTATTTGAGATACTGCATTAAAGTGTTCTCATGGAAAAAACTTGAAAAATCTTAGTTTTTGTTATTTGTAAAGCATCTTCTTTTTTGAGGAGATGAGTTTATGTGGGTTGGGATGAGGAGGGATAGGGAATAATGAGACTATAAATGGCATAATATCCTTGTAAGTGTAATATTCTGGTACTTGATTCAAAAGCAAGTTTTTTCCAAGTTGCTTTCAACCTCTTAGTAAGATCTTGACTATACACCAGAATGATTAACACAATTATTTTCTAACAATTTCTTTCTCAACTTTAATCTCCTATTCTCTTAGCTGCCTTATATTTTTGAATGGAATGTAAAGGAGGATTCTCTCTCACCATTTGAAGCACTCAGGGAAAAGAAACCCAAGTCATAGATTGAATGGTAGTGGCTACTGATAGTGGAAGAAGGCAAAAAGATATGTTAAAGTTTCCACTAAATGTTAAGAAACAGAGAGAGAGAAAATGTGGATCCAGTATAATTTAAGCAGTGGACTTGGGGATAAGCAATAGAAAGTTGTACGAGGTCTGTCCAGAAAAAGTCCAGCCATTGTTAATATAGTGAGAATGGCTTGTGTGACATTGATGTAACCTGACAGCCAAGGTGAATGGATGGATTGTGCATGTGTGAACAATGATGACTTCACTGCACTAGTCAGTGGGGGTGGTAGACACCACTGAGTCAGCATGTGTATTGTGTGGCCGTCACATTCAAAATGACTGAACCTGCATCAAATTTTGCATTTAGCTTGAACATTCCTCCAGAGACTATTCAAATGATTCAGAAGGCCACAGCTATGGGCAACTGGTGATGGGCAGCTTCATCATGACAACACGCCCACTCATGCATTATGCCTCGTGCAGAGGTTCTTAGTGAAACATCCAATCACCCAGATGACTCAGCCCTCCTACAGCCCAGATTCGGTGCCCTGTGACTTCTGGCTTCTCCCATAACCGAAAGCATAGTTGAAAGAGAAGAGATTTCAGGCCACTGATGAGATTCAGGAAAATATGATGGGGCAGTTGTTGGCAATTGTGAGAACTGTGTGAGGTCCCAAGATGCCTACTTTGAAAGGGACTGAGGTGTCACTGTCCCATGTACAATGTTTCTTACATCTCATATTTCCTTCAACAAGTGTCTCTATTTTTCATATTACATGGCTGGATACCTTCTGGACAGACCTTGTATGTATCTTCCCCTTCATAGCGTTTGGTCTCTTATCAGCAATTTTTGTATTTTTTTACAGATGGTGTTCAGGAGTTTTCTATACGCAGGCTCTGTGATACCGTTGTTAATATGAAAATTCATTAAGGAACCCTGTTTTTGAGGTTGTTAGATGGGTTTTACAGTTTTGGTATTGACCTTTGCATGACTAAAACTGCAAATAATATAGGCAGGTATAAAGATATACACTTATATATTGAAGCATATGATATTCATTCATCCACATTCATTCACATGTTCATACACCACTCTTTTAAATATTCATTGTCTAAATTAAAAAAAATAAAAGATGGAAACTGTAGAGCTTCACAGTGGAAAAAAGTAAATTGTACCTGTTCAAGAAAAAGTGGGAAAGGACCCAAGTGATTCTCCATCATTGAACAAGGAATTGGAGCCCATCTTCTCTTGGCCCGTCTTAGAACTGTTTCTTTAGAATCACTTTGCTTTAGTACCTCAATTTAGAAAAAAGAAAAAATAATAAAGTCAACAACCATTTCATTCTCAACCATTAGAATGCTGATCATCCTTTTCCTCTCATGAGGATGAGCTGGGGAGGTGTACAACCAGAGCAGTGCTTGAAAATAAAACTAAACATCAACACTGCAAAAAGATAATGAAGAGATAACTGCCCTGTTATCACAACAATCCTCTTGAGACAATAACTTCATGGGCATATGGAAGAAACATGAAACTAAAAGCCTAGAAGCAAAACTGAAAAAAAAAATTACTCTCACCACATTGCCATGCAAAACATGGAAGGAGAGATGTGCAAGGAAAATAAGTAGGCTATGTGCCCTTCTAAATATAGCATATGCATCCTCCACTCACCAACAATTATGAAGAGCCAGAGAACCCACAGAGAGATCCATGTCCGAACAAGGAGATAAGCGTGGTGACACCTCTCAAACTGCTACAGCGAGCAATGGGCAGTGGTGAACCAAAGTCTTCTTGACTTTGGGGTCATGAGTATTAAGCATGGGTGAGGTCCAAATCTCAGCCTAAAATAGTCATCTACTCTCTAAGACTACACATTATGCTAAGGCAACACGAGGCTTCCAGAGATAGTTTCAAAGCTTGTTTTTAAAAATCTATTCTATGGTAAATATCAACAAATGCTCCTTTGTGTCTAATCTCAAGCTCTCATGCTGTAGCATATCTCAACTTCTCTTCTTATGCCCCCTGCCAAAAAGGAATTACAAACGCTAATTAATCTATGTTGCAGAATCCTTTCCCCTTTGAACACTGTTAAATGAGTCATGGCTTTCATTCATCTTCAAGCTAAATTATCCCATATCCTTTCTGATTTCACATCTTCCCTGGTAATGTTAGTCATACTTGAAGAAAATACCTCATTATACTTCATTTTGTAGTTTAGTATACCTTTGTCTGATGCTCTAAAAGGACAAGTATTTTCTTTTCTTCTTGGGTCTCAGTGTTCGAAAGTGATATGGTAAAATTTCTCTTCTCTGAGGACAAAAGAATAGCATTTGTTGTATAGACTGATCCATCTTCTAAAATTTGGAAATCAGGATCACTTGAATGAATTAGATTTGCAGACTTAAAGCATTTCTTCAGGTTAACTGTAAAAAACATACACAGCAATCATTTCAAAGGTAAAACATACCAATATATAGTTTTAACAGCAATATATGCATGGGGGGCAAAAACTTAAAATTAACTACACTGACACTTGTAAATTTTTCGTTTTTAAAGAACATATGAAACCCTATGACTAATTAAGTTGTGCTAAACACAAATAACTCATATCACTTCTAATAATATACACTATATCCTTTTAAAGAAGGGACATTTATTTTGAAATAAAGGCATGTAAACTCCATTGTTTAAATATTTAAGCTAACACCAAAAAGTTTTTCTTTATTAACTGAAGTTAGCTAGAGAGTAACTTAAGTACATTTTAAGTAAGTTATACAGAATCTAGAGGATAAAAATGAGCAGTTATTGAATTAAAATATTATTGGACTCTTTATGTCTATTATTAAATAGTCATGATAGTCTGTGTTCTCATTGGTCTGATCTTTTCTAATACAGTTAGTTGAGTTATGTAAAAAAGTTAATTACTGAAAAAAATAATACATGAAAGTCAATGTCAATAGATGTCAAAATGTTTTAGGACAAAAATCCAAAAACAAAACCATTAAACCTAAGAAATAATTTCAATACCATTTCTCAATTTCATAGAAGCATGTTAAAACATACATGACATCCATCCATTAATATAAATATTAATAATTTTTTATTAATTAAGCTAAACCTTTTTATCTACTTCATTTCAATTAAAAAATATCCTTTTCATCGGGGTGGTACCACATGCATTATGAATGATAATGTACTATACAAGTTCTAACTCTTAGTTCCAATGCAGTTACCCTTCTAAAGGTTACACTATTTTTCGAGATCCTACAAATGAGGACTTCACCTATTTTGGCTGTTTCTTACCTCTACCCACAAGTCTCTCAGCATCCAGTTTGGAGGGAACAGGCAGTGTCACTTTTTTGCAGGCATCACAGGCAGAGATTAAGATCTAAAAAATCAATTTAATAGTATGCATTAAAAAAGGTACTTTTAATGTATCTATAGTTTATATAAACTATAAATTTACATAGTTGTACATCAGTTTCTATAAGTAACCAAATAACATAAAAAATGTACACTGGAGTGAAAAAATTCAGAAAAAAATTGTATTGAGGGGAGAATAAAATAATAAATTCAGAGTCACGGCTCACTCCTTTGCTGAGCATATAAACTCAGAGAATTTCTTACCTTATTGGGCTTTGTCTTCTACTCTGTAAAATAAAGTTAATAGTAATTTCACAACCTTAGTAGGTACATTGAGGAACCAATGACAATCTATGCAAGAGCGCTCAATGCTTTTAAAGAGTAGCATTAATTCATTGCTGTGGATTGATCTAGAAAGTGTTTATTTAATACCCCACATAACTTTAAAAGTTCAAGCACATAACTTTAAAATACAAACTTATTTTGAAGGTGCACCTTCTCATAAATAAGAGTTAAGTTCATTTTAGAAAATATTTCACTTAAAAATTTTAAATGAGTTAGTGATTTATAGTGAATCAATTCCAATACAATATATATTCAAATACACTGGAATTTAATTCCATTCTCTCTGAAATATTTTTTTAAAGATTTTATTTATTTATTTTAGAGGGAAAGGGAGGGAGAAAGAGAGGGAGAGAAACATCAATGTGTGGTTGCCTCTCGTGTGCCCTCTCTGGGGATCTGGCCTGCAACCCAGGCATGTGCCCTGACTGGGAATCCAACCAGTGACCCTTTGGTTCGCAGGCCGGCACTCAATCCACTGAGCCACACCAGCCAGGGCTCTCTCTGAAATTTTACAATGGATGTTTCTGAAAGATTTACAACTTTTCTTCCATAGTTTGACCAAATGCAAGATAGGTAAAACTAGTATTTACATAATTAATTGAAAAGTCCATAATCATAAATTAAAATCAGCAAAATTTGGATAAAAATTTTTATTTCCAATAATAATTGAACAGCCTTTAATTATCTAATTTTAATTACACATGAAGAATCAGGTAAAGCAGAATTATATTCACTTGGAAATTTAAGAGGGACACAATGAAGAGAGTGTATTTGAACTGGAAATTAAAAGATGAGAGGAACTGTCACTAGCTGCATAGTCGAGAGAGAGCAGGGGTAGAGAGAGTCAGATTGCTGGGGATTCAAGGTGGTTGAAAGCATACATCCACTTACTCACTCAGCCAATATTTATGGGTTGCTGACTGGATGCTAGGGAGTGCTTCAAGGCTACAGTTATGAACAAAGCAAAGTCCTTGACTTAACTGAGATGACATTATAATCAGAGACCAAATAATTATTACACAGATGCAGAAAGGTCACGTAATGAAAAGAGATAAATATTATGAGAAAAATAAAACAGGGAGAGAGGGTAACAAAAGGAAGACCAGAAGCTTGAGTGAAAGGAGGAAGCAAATCAGTTCACCAACAGAAGAGTCTTCCAGGTGGAGCAAAACTAAAACAAAGGCCCTGGAAGGGGACTTCACCTATGTCTTGGAGGAACAAAATGGAGGTCGGCACAGTAGAGCACAGCGAGGGAAAAGTGATAGGAGATGATATTAAATAGACAATGAGAGGCATATCACGTAGGCTCTAAAAGGCCATGCTAAGGACTACAGACTTTGTTCTGGATGCAAAGTTAAGCAGCATCAGGTTTAGCAGCAAAGAGGCATAATCTGGCAAACATTTATGTAGAATCATTCTGGTGCCTACGTGACAATAGATTGTGCAGAAGTTAGAGTGGAAGCAAGGAGACCATTTTGGAAGCTATAGGAGGAATCCAAGAGAGGGAGGATGGCTACGTGGACTAAGGTAAAAACAGAGGAGAAGGCAAGAAAGGCTGGGTTAAGACAGTACTTTGGATAAGTGCCCTATATATCCATTCATTCACGCATTCAACAAATATTTAATGAATCTCTACTACACGTCAGACACAGAGAAGTAAACATGATCTTCACAAAACAGCTCAAGGGGAAGGTATGTTTGTAATTTCAGTCAAGTGGAATAAGTGATAGTGAAGTACAGAGTGTTGTGAGAGAGGAGGGAAAACTAGGTTCCTGTAAGAGCCACATGACGTCAACTGAGGAGTGTCTCCAAGTTACCCACGTCAGGAAGAGGCAGAGTTTGTATGTTCCGAAGAGAGGGATAACTTGCGCAAAAGCCCAGAGGTGGCACAGACCTGAACGTGAAAATCTGGAATAGCTGATGCATATAGCATGGGAGGAACAGAAGTTTAAAATGTTTTCAGAGAAGTAGGTGTGGACAGAGTCTAAATACCTTTACCAAAGTATATGGATCTTATTTCCTACACAGAGTAAGACCAAGATTTGTTTTAAGCAGATAAACTACATGAGAAGCTTTCAGTTTGAATAAGGTAAACATGACCAGAGTGGAGAATGAATCAGGGAAAAATTTTCCTTTCCAATAATGGCAGCCAGGTCATTCAAACCTCACACCCATACTGAGAAGGATGGATACATTTTTTTGTAAGGAATTGCTGAACAAAAACTGAGGATAAAGCAGGGATGCAGAATGGTAACTAGAAATGACTTCTGATCTGAAAAAACGTGACTCCAGTTTTTTGGATTCCACAGAAAAGAGTGAAATCAAAGCATGGGGCCTGCTTAAGATTCGAGACAAGAGATGCCCATATTAACCTGGGACCCACATGCAAAGCCTTCATTGTAGGGGTGAGCTGGAAGTAAACTGGGCCTTGCATGGATTTGTGATCAACATTCATATCACTTGCTTGGTCTAGGAACCCCATGCCATTAATTAACATAAAATCCCAGCATGTGTTTCAGCGAAACTCTAGATGCTGAAAGACATTTGACCAAATTCAACAATCCCTCTTAGATTTTTTTTAAAAAAGGCCCCAATATAGGAATCGATAAGTACTTCCTCAATATGATTTTTATATTATATTATAAACACAACATCAATGGGAAAGCACAAGCAGTAGCCACAATAAACTCAGAAACAAGACTTTCCAAGATCAATATTTAGTTAACATTATGTTGATGCATACCAGGCAAGAGGAAGATGTTAGACAGCATATGAATTGGAAAGAGGTAAAAAAATCTTTATTTGCACATAATATGGCTATTTACTTGGAAAACCCCAGCAAATCAATAAATTATTATAAAACAATAAGAGAATTTCAGTAAAGGAGCAGCAAAAACAATTAAAATATAGAAATCATTAGTATTCATACACATACAAAAAGTTAAATAATGTAATGGAAGAGAAGAAATCATTTTCAAAAGCAATAAAATAGAATGTCAAGAAGTAAAGAAACTAGAAATCTGTAAAACCTATTTGAGAAAAATCTGAAAATATTTCTGAAGAACGCAAAAGTAGACTTGTATAAAGATATATTTTTATTTTGAAAAGGTAAACAGCATAAATACATTAATTTTTACTGTTATAAATTCTATGGTCCTAATAAAAACCCCAATACTATTTTTTCTGAAAGTAGACAAGTTGATATAAAAGGTCATAACAAAATATCAATAATTAAGAATAAACAAGAAAATCACAAAAAAGGAAAGCAATAAAAGGATATTAGCCCTAGCACATATTAAAAGATCCTAGAAAGTCTTAATAATAAAAATAATGTAATATTAATACATGAAAAACTGAAAGATATTAGATGCATACAAATTGGAAAGGAAGAAGTAAAAGTTTCTATTTTTCATTTGTTATAACTCTATACAGACCATAAAGGTAGCAAATTTTTGTTACATTCACTAATTATCTACGAGTTTCTATTTCTTCACATTCTTGGCTACCCAGCATGCTGTCAAACTTTCGGATGTTTGTCAAATAAGAAATGACAATTCAATGTAGTTTTAAAGTCATCTTTTCTTATTATGAAAGAGGCTGGAATATTTTTATGGCCCATTTTTATTAATTTATGGGAATTTTTCATGTCATGTTCATGGTAGAATTCTTGATTTAGAAGAGCACTTCATATATTAGATTAACCTTTTAAAACATGATCCAAAAATATTTTTCCATTTTGTCAGTTACCTTTAACTTTGTCTATGATGTTTTTGTTTTGTTTGGTATAGTTTTTGGCCAGGGATAAATGTTTGTGTGTGTTTTAATATAATTGATTTTCTCAATTTTAAGAAGTGGCTTTTGAAATCTAAGCCATAAATAGGCCTTCTTGACTCTAAATTTAAATAGAAATTTATCATTTTTTTCTTCTGTTATCAATATGGTAGCATATATTTAAATCTTTCACCCGTTTGGAATTTTCTATGGTGTTCTCCATAAGGTATGGATTTAACTTTACCTTCTGCCAAATGACTGCCTAGATCAAGTATTATACATAGTATAGTATTACATACGTATGCATGCCTCCTCCATAACATGATATGACATCCATTATAAAATAGCTTTCTATCTAGTCATATACAACCTTTGTGGCGAGAAAAAAAAACTTATGATAGCTATCAAATTTATGGAGTCATTTAAACTTTTATCTGGCAATCCCATTTGTGATAATCTGTTCTATTGACACAACTGCTCATATATGAAATAACATATTTACAGGCTTAATTATTGTGACATTATTTGTAATAGCAGAGAGTAATAGCAGAGGTGATGGATAGCAATAAAGACATCCATGAGATATTTCTGAATGTAGATTTAATGGAACTGAATGATGGATTAAGGGAGGGGAACAATGAGGAAGGAAAAACAAACAGCTTCCAGATTTTTTACTTGAGGAACAAGGTGTATCAGTGTCATTTATTGAAATACAGGACACTAGAAGAAAAGTAACCCTGTTGGAAAGATAAATGTTGTATCACATATCATAATAGGTAGAGAGATAAAGGCCTATTGTTCAAAATAAATTTAGTACATGCAGGCACCTGTATGACATTTTAGAGACAAGACTAGAATGAGTAGGACTTTGAGTGATCAGGAATATCAAAAGGAAAGCAGAGTAAATTTCAAGAATAAAGTCACAATCTACTAGGTGGGGGTGTATAAAGCATGATAAAGATGTGTGATTATCTGAAAGAGAAAAATCTTCATTAGGTATTTAGACAGAAGCTTAAAGTTCAAGTGGTTAAGACACATGTGAGGTGAGGCAATATTAAGAAGCGGGGAAAAAGCTGATTTGTGGAATGGCGAAGGATTCCTTGGGTATATCGAGAGCATAAAATTTAAATGGCATCCCCCCCAAATCATGCTTATCTAATACCATCTTCTCCTCAAATAGTCTTTATGCATCTATCCCACTTGAGACTCACAACCACACCAAACAGCTGGGGCTGGCAGGGCTGTGCAGACATATATCCAAAAGCAACAGGACACTAGGCCTTCCTGCCAGTTTGAATGTAGCAGAATAAAGGGTGCAACCAGAGCCTGTGCCCCTTTTGCCTCCACCCCGCTTAGCTATGCTGTTTTGAAGCAAAGAAAGGCCACAAAATGGGGACTTTGCAATGTATTTATTCACTTAGAACTTTCTTCTAAAGAGGATCTGAGATGAATGCAGAAATTTCTGTTAAGTATATACAAAGCAATGCTATTTGTTACCCGTGACTAATCACCCCTTTTCCTGGTGTAAACAGAGGTTTGGCAACTTTATTAGGAATCTAACCAAAATTATTCCTTTGTTACCAGCCACATATTTTGTGACTGTTACTCATTTCATTGTTGGTTTCCTCAACTACAAAGTGTTAACTGCTGTGCATGTGGCCTTTTCTGTTATTAATGTGCCCCAGGAATTTAGTTAAGTGTTTGGAGTCCATGAAGTTCTAAAGACCTTCTAATAACAGTAACAACTACAATTTCATTATTTAAAAATTTAAGGAATTTGCTGTCAAACGAGAGCGCTAGAGAGAGGCAAATAATCCGAATATTTCAGCCCCCCAGTTTCACCACTCCCAGAAGGAATCTTCCCACTGTCTGTTTGCCGGGCTATTCCTTTGTCCTTCAGGTTTGACTGGTGTCTCAAAGTCAAAAGACACCATCGAGAGCACTTTCTCGCGTCCTGTCTACTTTACGGTTCCCCTTTCAGGAAGCCCAGGAAATCCCGTCGAGGCACCTCTGACCCCGAACTCTCCCCGGGGCTGCTCCCTAGCACCGGATTTCTGAGCCTTCGGTCCCCACGGGAGATTCCTGTTTTCCCTGGTAAGGGAGAGTGCGGGAGGGCTGTCCCGTCTCAAATAAGGCCACCACCTTCAGCTCCCAGCTCTAGGTGGGAAGGGTCTTCTCTGTTATTTTTTAAAGCGGGAAGGAAGCTAGAGGGCAGGTGGAAGAAGAATCCGGATGCCTCAGGGTACAACAGATATGGATGATTATTTTCTCCAAAATTAAGGGGAAGGTAACCTCCCACAGTGACAAAAATAAAAAAGTAAACTACAAACGCCCACCTAGAGCCTTCACACACACGATCCCCCTAAAAACGCGTAGTTTTCTTTCACCCAAAGACCGCGTTTTTCGTCGAACCCGCGCAGAGGGTCCCCCTTCAGTGGTCGTGAACCCGCACCGCGGCACGAGCTACTGAACCTTCCCAGGGAAGCGCCCGAGGCGCAGAGGCGCCGCGCAAGCGCGCCGCGCTTGCCGCTTGTGCCCAGAGGCCACACTTTCGGATGGGCGTTTGCAGCTCCAGCCTCCGTCTCTACTTGCCTGCCCTGATTGTATCTACGCGATACACTTTTTCCTTCCCTTTCGGGATCGCGGCACCCCGGCACCTTCCCCTATCTTTCTGCCCTCCCCCGCAACAACCAACTCCACTTTTTAGCGAGCCCAAAGCCCACGAACTCCGCTTTGCCCACCACCCCTGCTCCCAAAATGTCCCCCTTGATCCCCAAACAATTGGAACCCCGTCTAGGGAGCAGGTGGCCCGGGCAGCCACTCACCGTGAGGGTCAGCAAGAGCTGCCTGCAGAGGGCTGCGCTCTGGGAGCGCGTGGCTGGGGCGGCCGCCATGGGGAGACCCGGGGCAGGTCGCGGACCGAGACACCCGAGGATCGGAGTGGGAGGATCCGCGGGGCCAAAGGCCGCTGCCGGGGCACGGGCTGGGCCCGCCGCGCAGCAGGAGAGGTGGTGCGCGGGGAGAGACGCTTTTCTTCCCGGTTTCTGAAGCCTCTGCTTCTTACTCAAGGGGCTTTTCCTCTAGCCGAGGGTGGGGCTCCAGACGCGTCCGAAACACTCCGATCGGCCCCTCCTTGAGATTTTCTTAAGCCTTTATTTCTCTGAGAGCGAAACAGGTGGGAACTCCCTGTCGCCGCCACTCTTTTACCAGTGCTAGGTGTTTCTCATCAGCGGACGCCACCTATATGCCCTTCTGCCCCCCGCCCGGGTGTCCGCCTGCAGGATTAGCAGGTAGCCCTGCCCCGCAGAAGCCTGAACAATACAAAGACTCACCCTCGGAGCGGGCCGGCAGAGGAAAGGGCGCGGGTTGGAGCGCATTCCCGGCCCAGGCTCCGCCTCTCCAACTGCAGCTGGTCCTGTCCAGGGGTCTGCTATGAACCCTCAAAGGTCTCCTGCACTTTGTCCAAAGACCAGCTAGCTGCAGACTTGTGGTTTTATTTCACAGCTGCTTGCCGGTTAGAGGGCTGACTCCAAGTAGATATTTTTACAAACTCTTTGCTGAAGTAAATTTACCCCAGACATCCATGTGTAGTTCAGACAGGGTTTTCATCTGTAACATACATCTTTCTTTGAGGGTCTTGGGGTTTTTTTATTAGAAATTGCATGGCCTTGCCCTGGCTGGTGTGGCTCAGTGGACTGAGCGTGGGCCTATGAACCTAGAGGTCACTGGTTCCATTCCCAGTCACGGCGCAAGCCTGAGTGCCGGGCCAGATCCCCAGTTGGGGTCATACAAGAGGCAACCGGTAGATGTTTCACACGTCTATGTTTCTTTCCTTCTCTTTCTCCTTCCTGTCCCTCTCTCTGGAAGAGAATGAAGGAGGGAGGGTGGAATTTCATGTCCAATATGGCAGTGATACAAGAAAATGACGATAAATTAAAGAAAACATAAATATCTCCAGGCTACAAGAAAATAACAAAATCAAGGGTAAGTTAGTATGGAAAATTCATTGCTTGATGTCTTAGATGCTGGCTAAATGTCAGTTACTACTGATTTTCTCCAAAATCCTCTCTTGTCACAATTAAATGCATCCACTGGCCTTCTTATATCTTATTTCTTAAGTAAGAACTCCTGGACATATAGTGGAAATTTCTCCCTTCCTTCCTATCACCAAAACCAGAATTCATAGGGAAAAAAAAATAATGGGGTAAAATTCGCATTTTGACTTGGGAAGTATACTTAAACCAGATGAATGATTGCAGCACTTGCCTTGGAAGATTAAACCATAAAAACAGTATGCTTTCAGCTTTTCAGAAAGCAATGACAGGGCATTCTGACTCATCTTCGGCAATTGTTTTCAGTTACTAACTTAAACCAGGAAACTCTGACCACAAAGGAGAAACTTCTCTGTTCCATTTCATTTAGTTTGTCTTTTCAAGGGTGTTTGGAGAAACCTGTTTGAAGAGCCAACCATGACACTCACACCATGTCATGGAAATGTACTTTCCCAATATCACTACACACAAAGCCAAAATTATTATCGTGTTGAGCATATACTTAAATTTGTAAGTAATGTCAAACAATACAATCCTTACATTCTATATATTAGTCCCATGCTCTGTCTTACCAGTGAATAACCACATAATGGACTGTCTTGTTGTCTTCATACCCATAAAAATATATCATTGAATCTTTCCTAATAAAATAAGCCTGGGTCACCAAAATGAGACTATAGTTGACATCCTTCTGTTTCTGCAATTTTTAACCCCCATGTTTTTCCAGCAATGATTTCATAAACACACATCATCCCATTAATGATGACAATAAGCTCTCTAGCGATGAAGGTTTCTCAAAGGATAAAGAAGCAAGCCAGTTTTCTCAGGGTCTAGAAATTTGCTCAGGCTATCACCATAGTCTTTGACAATAGGACGGTTCCAAATTCTCGCCTCCCCTTTAACTTCTAATGCCTTCAAGGGTGGCTCGTGTTTTTCTCATTCGCATAAAGAATGGAAGAACATATCCCACGCAGCAATTTTTTCACTGATATGTCTCCTAAAGCAAGGGACATAAAGGAAAGAATAAACAAGTGGGACCTCATCAAAATAAGAAGCTTCTGCACGGCTAAAGAAAACATCAGCAAAATGAAAAGGGAGCCAACCATTTGGGAAAATATATTTGCTAATGATACATCAGATAGAGGTTTGATCTCCAAGATATACAAAGAACTCACTCGACTTGACTCCAAGAAGACAAACGATCCAATCAAAAAATGGGCAAAGGACCTGGGCAGATGCTTTTCTAAGGAGGAGATACAGAGGGCCCAGAGGCATTTGAAAGGATGCTCTGCATCACTAGCCATTAGAGAAATGCAGATCAAAACCACCATGAGGTACCACCTCACATCGGTCAGAATGGCCATCATAAACAGATCCACAAACAACAGGTGCTGGCGAGGCTGTGGAGAAAAGGGAACTCTAGTCCACTGTTGGTGGGAATGCAGACTGGTGCAGCCACTATGGAAAGCAGTGTGGAATTTCCTCAGAAAGCTGAAAATGGAACTGCCTTTTGATCCAGGGATTCCCCTGCTGGGACTATACCCTGAGAACACCAAAACGCCAATACAAAAGAACCTATGCACCCCAATGTTCATAGCAGCACAATTTACAATAGCCAAGTGTTGGAAGCAACCTAAATGCCCATCAGTAGATGATTGGATCAAAAAATTATGGTACATATACACAATGGAATACTACGCAGCAGAAAGAAAAAAGAAGTACTAAACTTCGCAACAGCATGGATGGAACTGGAGAGCATCATGCTAAGCGAAATAAGCCAGGGGGCGAAAGACAAATACCATATGATCTCACCTATAAGCGGAACCTAACCAACAATGCAAAGAAGTAAGGCAAATATGACCAGCAACACTGAAAGGAAAAGAAATCAACAGAGACAAGAGGGAAGAGGGGGGCAGGGAAAGGGAAGGGAAGGGGAAAGTCAAGGAACATATAGCAAGGACTCATGGACAAAACCAAAGGGGAAGAGCTGAGGGAGGGAAGGTGGGAGGGGGCAAGGGAAAGAGGGGGGGGAAGGCAGAGACAAATGTATTTAAAAAGTAAATAAATTAATTAAAAAAAAAAAAAGAATGGAAGAACAATTAGAAAAGAATTCATCTTAGATATTTATTTTCACCTTTCACACTAGATAAATGATTGAGGTTATTAAAATTGTGATTTTTTTAATTGTTTCATCATGAAGCTTTTTTAAACAAAGATGTGAAATATACACTATTTACTCTGAACAAGTCACCCAATTTGTTTAATGTATTTATATTAGACTGTATGGTCAGGAAAATGAATTTCTCTGCAATACAATTTGGAAACAAAAGGTACAAATTTGAAGAAACAATGAAATGTGGGGTAGAGGATGCATTTTTTTAAAGAATGTCTTTTGGCTGTGAAGGTGATTTTGCTGACTTGAAATGGTTTCCCGCTCTGATATGAAATGGCTATGCTCTGACAGAGGGTGCACTAGACCGAAAGTCAGAAGCAATTTCCTTTGGGCTACTTGAGCAACCTTTCAGGCCTCAGCATACCCATTTGTTAAGTAAGATATTCAAAGTAATACTAGGTGCCATCTACGGTCACTTCTATGTCTAAAATTAAACTAGTTAGACTTCTTGTGACTGAGTTTATGAGAAGGTTGGCCGGAAATGGGTATTCATTTCTGATATAAAGTCAGAACAAGTTATCCCTAAAAAATGAATAAACAGCAACTGAAGGCCTGTGAGTCATATCTCTGCAGCCTAGTATCACGATTTTTTAATTTTGGAACCTAGAAACTAAACATATTAATGGCAACAAAAAAATCCTATTTAGTCACTGATACGCACATAGAGACAGCTCTGGCTGAGCAACCACTGCCGGAGCCTGGGGCAGGGACCCACATAGACACTTTCTGTTTAGGGTGAGTTTTTCTTGGCAGGGTATGTGACAAAGAATGGAACCCAAAGCAAAGGAAACACGGGCATGGGGGAAAAGCAAGATAAAAGCACATTATCTAGTCACTTTTAGATGAGAGCAGACAGGAAATACCTGATAACCACAATAAAATTAGCACAATTACATTATTTACTTACCAGAGTTGTTTCAAGGTTAAATGACATGACGTATGAAAAGACATACAGAATAAAGCCTGGCGTGTTCTAAGTGCTCCCTAAGTGGTCAAATGGATAACAAACATTCTTCCGCCATCCCCCATGTCTCTATAACCCACTCGTGTTCCCCACTCCACCTCCTCTCTATTACAGCTCCATAGTCTTGATCTTCTAGTACCTCTCTTCAGATCCTGGTCTAGGGCTCAACTCCAGTTTAATTCACTGACCACATTCAAATCCTTCAATCCCCTTCCCCTGAACACAACCCTCAGGCCTTGTCTGGCGAACAGATCAACTATATAACACTAAGATGAGATGCCACAGTTGGTGTTAGTTGTGTGCTTTCTGAAAACTTGGACTTTTTTTTAAAAAAAAGAATCCTTTTATAATGAGAGAAAACATTTAACTTCTGCCTTGATGAATACATAAAATATTTATTTTTAATGCTGTCGTTTCTTTGAAGTTCTCTTTTCAAAGTTGACCTCAATAAAACATAGTATACTAAATCAATTCCCATTACTTTCAAAGTACATATTTGAAATTCATAAGGAATAGTATGGGAAATAAACTATAAATCAATTTTTATTATAGTACTTTTTACTTAGACCCTCAAAAAAAAAGCAAGCCAGTGAATGAATTCTTAGGCAATTGTGCAGAACATGACCAGAGATGGTTCACAAGGTCAGGTCTAACTTTGATAGATGTTGTTCATGTAAGTCTCTCAGGAATGCTATGAATGAATATATCCTTAAAACTACAAATATTTCTCTTGTTTTCTTTACTAATTAACTAACTCAACAAGCATGTATGAGCACCTATTATGTCTTAGGCATTGTTCGCGGCATTGGGAATATGTGGTGAACAAGAGAGGGTAGCTCAAGGGTATCACCTAAGGAAGTATTGAAAAATTCAGAAGGACAAGTACTCTCTATTTGAGATTTACATAATACTGACTCCTTTCTAAAAGAAAAGAAAAGATTAATCTGAAGTTAAGTACAAAATGAAATACAAGCAGCATTCTGTAAAGGATGAAAAACGACTACCAATATAAACAACATGTGTTACTACATTTTCATAGATCATGAAA